GGACACCACCACCAATGAAATAACAGACCAAACCAAGCCTTTATAGTAGCGAGGTATCGAAAATCGAACTGGTGTATTTAAGTGTTTTACACTCACAAAAAAAAGGAATTCTCCAAAACTAATTTGGCTCAAAACACACCCCCAATGAAAGAATAGACCATTCCAAGCTTTTACTTCTTGTTAAACAAATGTTTAAACAACTTTATTTATACAATTACGTACAAGCTGCCCAGTGTCGGCTAACAATACAAAGAATTAAACTGTGGCAAGTTCTTCAAATACTAATAGAATGATAGGTGACTGTAAAACACTTAAATACACAGTTCAAATTTTCCAACTACTAATCTAAGAATAATAGGCCTATAATCACTGTACAGTTTAATCTTCTTTTAAGGAAAGTAACATTAGCCAGCTTCAAATCTTCTGACAACTCCTAACTAGTCAATGACTTGTAATAAATTGTAGCAAGTGGCTCACATACCAAGGTCTTAACCTCTTTCAAAGTTCTTGTTAAAATATTATGCGGCCCAAGTGTCTTATTATTCTTTAAGCTTCCAATTTATTTGTTAACAAGCTCAGAATTAATATGATCATTTTGTTTGATCATGTTTCCATCTAGCATCTGTTCAGGATGAGAAATATTGCTTAAATCTTCATTAGTAAAAATATTTTTACCACCAATCTCCAGTGAAGGAGTACCTCCCAAATGCCACATTTCTAATACACCCATTAGGGTGTGATATTTGGCATTAGGCTCTTCCCTGTTCACTCAAATAGCTGTGTAAAGTATGACATATAGTCATATTCATAACACATTGTAGTGAACCAAAATTAACTGTTTTTCTAGCATCAATTATTATTTTTATTACATTTGATTTCTTAAAAGTGTAATAAATATTTGTGTCCAGACCACTAGCAGAGTATCATTACTCATTGAGACATTGTTAGCATTTATTTATTGTTTTTTTTCATTATTAAAAACTTTGGTGATATAACAGAAAATAGCTTAATTCAGAAATGATATAAGTTTAAAATGAATTGATATTTTTACTTTCATGATAAATTTTATGCACTTGGCTCTAGGCTGGTTGATCCCACACTGTCTTTACTTTAGGCTTATTAAACCAACACTTACTACACTTAGAAAATTTCACAGCACACCCCCTCATGGCCCCTTACACCCCCGTCACTAAAATTTTAATGGGCAGACAGTAATTGAACTATTCTATCTGGATAAATTTATTTTGGATTTAATAACTCATCCTATTTCAAGATGTCAAATGTGATTTGACACACACTGACTTTTATATAGGTTAGACAGCCACAGCTTATCTTTTACAACTAGTTATAATGTACATGTAAGAGGTTCTGTTGTAGATTTTGATTGTAGAAATGTTCCCCTTGAAATTCATAATAACTAAGGTCAATGTTGTAATAACTTCCGGTGTTCCTTCTGCATCCAAGAAGGGTCCTTTAAATAATACAAGGTCTAGCTTTTCATTTGAATATCATACCATTTTGTGGTTGAATATGTAATTTATTTTTAGGTTAATGTTTCTGTAATTTTATTTATATTGGTATAAGCCTAAAATTTAGGCCTGTTGATTTCTAATGCTTCACCGTATTTAGGTATCTAAATTATAATATATATATTCCTGTTTCTGTATTTTATCGCACACCCTTAGATTTTTTTTTTTGCAGCTGTTTACATCACAGTCTTTCTTGGAGAGGGAATGAATGTTATACATTTTGCATATTTTTTCCATCTTGTTTATAGTTTGATCTTTGGTTTGATTTGTATATTATATCCATTAATGCTTTTCTTAAATTGAGCATAGGTGACACAACTGATTAAACAGGTTTTTGAATTCCTGAATTCCCACAAAACTAGTAGTCCAGTTTGGTAGTTTCAGTTGTCTTATAGGCATTAACATAGAAGAATCACTAATAATATAGAGTGAAAATGTTTTGCTCATATTTAAGAAGCATATTTAAAAATTCTCAATATAGTTTTTATTACTTTAGTAGTAATTAAAGACTGAATAAGAAATGAGACAGTTACAAATTAACAAGCTATATCAGTTGAGTAATTTGGGAAATAGGATCTAGAAGACCTAAATGACTGTTAGGAATTATAAGTTTAAATGAAATGTAGGAAAATACTTTGAAATATTGTCATGGATTTGAGAAGTCACAAGATAAGTACATTGGATATATTAAAATTGGGAAATACATATAGTGTCTTTTATACCTATGCCTGAAGTCATGTGTTGGGACACATTTTAATGTCACAGTTATAACTGGGTTTTGTTTAAGTGATGTTTAAGATGTTATTTGTCATATGATGATTAATAACAGATATTAAATTGCAAAATTTTACAAATACATTCATTGTTAAAGTATTTATATGTACAAGGGTTATAAACCTGGTTATCAATAGCAAATAAGAGTTCATGACTATTGAGTTACAAATTTCATCAAGTCATTCTCCTTTATGATATTCTTATATTGCTTATTTTTTCTACAGTTTACCTTGATTGTGTAATAGTAAAATCAGTTATGTCAAAATACAATGGTAATTCTATTGTTAAGAACTTTTGTAATCTGAATATTCAAACATGGACATTTTAAAGCTATCTTCAAAATCTCAAATCTCTGAACCCAAACAAGCACTTTGTCATCCAAATAGAAGAAAACATAACTTGTCACCCTAAATATTAGACCTGTAAATTTCAAATCATCAGAGATATATATGTCAAAGCCAGAGAAACATATGACAGAAACTACCTTAAAGAAGAAAAATCCTGAAGAAAATTTTCCAGTTCAATGGTTACCTTACCAATTTCATCTCAACCTCGAGGGCAAAACAAAACTGCTTAACCCAGTTAATAAAATTAACACAAAGCCAAGAATGCACTGCCTTCATTCCTAAATTAAGCTACAAACTAAGAAGAATTTGCCTTGAAATATGGTAACATTTGGATGTATATCTCCCCAAAATATACTGCTACAATGATGATATCGCATAAAATATAGCCCACAGATAATTCTAGTTGGGGGGTTAGTAGATTTTGCTAATCAATTAATTGTCAGGCTCATTAATTGATTACATTCAACTAATCAGTTATTCTCACATAAGACTTGGATATTTTCAATAACTGGAAACACTGATTTTTAATTATTTTTGAATTAATCAAGAATAATAATTTGAAGTCATAATTGCAATATATTGATTATTTGGATAGATTGAAAACAATAATAATCAGAAACATTTCATTTCAATTATTTGATTGTTTTCTTTATATCAGTAATTGTAATTGATGCTCATAGGTAATTGATTATATCGACTAATAGTACACAGACAACCTGTTTAACTTCCATTTCTCTTTTTAACATGTCTTCCAATAGCCAGAAGACATGCAACAACAAATAGTACGGGAGACATTCCAATTAGTGTCCAAGCGAGATGATAATGTTTGCAACTTCTTAGAAGGAGGAAGGTGAGAGAATTCTGGAATCAACCTTTAGATTTTGGTTTTACTTTTTATTTTTATTTTTTTATATATAACAGTCCCATATGTCTGTGAGTAGGACAGAAGCTTAATAAGTTGCTGTTATTGTTTTAATGGATTCTATCTTTATACTGCTCTGACCATTTTTTATACATGATTTTAATATTTTCAGAAAGTAAATGTTTTTGGTATGTTCATATCATTGTGAAATATAAAGTTTAAAAGTTGTAATAAAAATCACAAATAATTTAATTGTATAAAACATTTTTGGGGCCATTCATATTCTGTCCTGAGTCTACCTTAACTATTATAATTATTATGCACTCCCTTCTCCCTCAATCTGAGTTACATTTGTCACTCAATTTTTAACAATGCTTATAGTGGAGGGTTATTTTTTATATGTGAAAAGCCCTTAAATAAATTTAAGATTGCTCATAAAGTTATTCCCAGCTTTACCAATTAAAGGTTAACTTTGCTTTTTAGCATACAGGATGTCACAACTCTGTCTTATATTATAGATTTCCATCTTCAACTCCATTTCTACATTGAGCCTATTTTGGTATATGGGCTTGATCACTACCAGGTCTGAAAAACGTCTTTTTTGCAAAAATGCAACTTGTGTAGAAATATATACAATTCTGGGGTTAAGTGTCCTAATTAACAATGTAAATAAGGCTGTCTCTTGAAAAGATATTTTTCTTGTTTGCATTACCTACTTTCTTTTTCTTTTAGCAATGAAAACATTTGAAAATATATAGACTAATGATCTTCTATTTTTTTACCCTTGAAATTGGCTACAATCAAATTTTAGTTCCCTGAGGCATCTGATTTATTTCAGAGCTGTTCTAAGATATCCCACTTCCCCCTTTCAGCAGCACTGCACACCCAGTGATCTAAAGAAAACATTAAAATTATTTGCACCAGGTGTTGTAACCTAGCATGCATAGAATTCTTCTAAAAAGGATGAGGAACCAAGGACATCTTACAGGCCTTGAAAATTAATATTTGAGAATTTTATTTTTGAAAGTGATTGAAAACAACTATTGGTAAATACAAAGATTTTTGGTGTATTAAGTAAAGATACTAAATTAGACCAACGGAATTACTAGCCAACTCTATGAATTTTCAAGCACAATTGCCTTGTAGAATTCCTGAACATGAGGCAATCTCATGATTTTAAGCTTGTGTTAGTTTGAAAAAAAATCTTTGTTATTTAACCCTTTTTGTTACTAATATCTCTGTGTCTATGGATATGAAATAGAAGAAAGTGTTATTTCAATAAAGATAGGATGAAAGACAACTTTTGTGATAATAAGTATATAGCATAGTTTGCAAAAGTGCAAACACACAAATTGTACTTGATGATGACAAAACCTTGTCGAAACGTTATACATTTGCTGTTATGTTAAACTTCGTTACCTATTTAAGCCGTCTCCAGCCATTATTAGTCTCAAAGTGGGTTCCTCATCATAGAATTTGAATTACCTGAGTAGTCTTTCTTTTTTGTGGTTGACTGTTGATGATACTTAACCTTACTTTTCATGCTAATGGTACTACTGCACTAAATAATTTTTTACATAATTAAGTAATGCTTAGAATAATTTTTTCACTCCACTCTTGTTGTTTCTTTTTGGAAAAACAAAACTTTAAGATCACTGAGTTCCTTCTAAGGTCAATTTTAACTTTCTTTCGGGTAGAAGTTACCCCTGGAATAACAGTTTTCCCAAACTTGCAAGTTTATGTAACATAAAGACCAGATTGCTAATAAAGATAACCAAAAACAGCATAAAATCACAAAACCCACAACATTCTCCCCTAAAAATGTTGTTTATCTAATCTGATGTCAAAAATGCAACTTTCAGGATGTGGGAAAAACCAGCACCACTATACAAGAACATTTTAACATCCATAAATGTAATTGATCACTCTTTACAATATGAAACTCATATTTCTAGACACTTGTTTGAGATCAAAAAGAGACAGAGGAATTAAGGAAGCAACTTTGAATACTTTACTGCCAAGTACCATCAATCTTGATCCTTAAAACATTGATTTTTATGCATTTCTAAAAATAGCTCCTTGAATAACTAGTTTCATTTTGATACTTATTATGTTATCTAATGTTAGTTATCTTTCATTCCTTTCTATATACATGCAAGGGTTAATCCATGTTTTTATTCTATTGTATTATTTTATAGTTGTTTTGTTTTTCTCTTAATAATTAAAACATTTTTCTTTCTTTTTGTTTCTGTCTTATGTTTTGGTCTCTAGAGTAAGGCACCTCTGTTTTTTGTTAAATAAGTTGTTTGCTGTTATATATGTTAGAGAATGTTTCATATTTCTACCTTAGTCCTTAACCTTTACCATTTTTGCTCTTGATGATGACAAAACCTTGTTGAAACGTTGTACATTTACTGTAATGTTAAACTTGTATTAAAGTTTTTCTTCATTACCCATTCAAGCCGTCTCCAACCATTATTAGTGTGAAGAAGTTTCATCTTCACCTCCTTTTTGCTAATTTACATAATAAATCCACAAGTGTGTATGTGTGTGTGCGTAAATACAATATTGAAATTTTTGTTATTTAATATTTTTGCTCTTCTCAGTGTAATCAATCTGCTATTTAATAAGCATGAGAAATTTCTGGAGAAGGTATGGAATTTGGCTTCCTATTGCTGCAATCAATTATGTTGATAAAATTATGCCTTGCAGGACAACAGCAGTCATTGAGACATTCAACATTACTTCACTCTATTAGGGCAATGATCAACAGTATGGCTGTTCTGTGGCTCCTTGTCCATATAATTTATATGACCCTTTTTCCATGTGCTTTGAACATAGATGTTTTAACAGTTTATTTTTATATTTTATTCCAGAACACAGATTTTTATTTTTTTCAATATAAGTGCTTGTATGATTCTGGTTTTTGGTTTCATTATGTTTACCAGTGCTATATGTCTGAAATGTACAAAAATGGAATATTTACAGAAAAATTTCTCTGTTCGACAATTTACTGTGATTTTTAATTTACTAGAATTGAAAAATATTTTATGTTACTATGCATCTATGAACACTGCCAGAATTAAAATGATCTTAACTGCAACTTTTCTTTGTTTTTATTTTTTTAGCTTAATTGGTGGGTCAGACTACAAGCTTATATACCGCCACTATGCTACTTTGTATTTTGTATTTTGTGTGGATTCATCAGAAAGTGAGTTAGGCATTCTTGATCTTATCCAAGTGAGTATTTCAAAGATATCAAGTTAATGGTTAGATAGTAGGCTTAGTAGGTATGAAAATAGTTTTTGTTCTTTTGCTGTCTTTTTAAAAGAGTCATGAAATATATATGTTTGAAATTTAATGTAAATTCATATAATGCCCTGCATACATAAGTAGGATTTTTGGCCTAGTATTTAAATGTAAAAAAAGAAAAACACAGCCCATTAGTAGTGGCTAAATGTATAATGTTAGTTGTGTTAACATCACCCCTGCCATGTGGGTTGACCATATAATGTTTTATTATATTGATTGTGTGCTTCACCTATAACTTTTACAGGCCATGAAATATTCTACTGAAAGCATCGATTGAAGTGCCTGCTGACATAAGTGCACTTAGATTTCTATTATATATAGTACAGATGTGAATTAAAATAATGAAAACACATTTATTAGTGTCAACTAGTTAGTAGAAGTTACATTGGGCTAGTGTGCTGCAAGCATAGGTCATTAACTTGGTTAACAAATTTTTTAGGCATCTATCATGCTTAAGTAGTTTTCAAAAATGTACTAGAATCTTCAAAAGTTGCAGTGATATTTCATTACTCTGTAAGGCTGATTTTCTTAAACAACAGTGGAGTCAATTAGGATTTGAAATTATTCAAATTATAAAATCTAATTTAAACCTTTGACCTAAATTCAGTTTTACTGTATCTGTTTTCTATGTGTAGTTAGTTTCCACTTTCCTAAGATGCAGGCCCGAATTGGCCAGGTGGTTAGGGTGCTTGACTCACAATCTGAGGGTTGAGGGTTCGAACCCCTGTCCCACCAGATATGTTCGCCCTTTCAGCTGTGTGACGGTCAGTCCAACTGTTTGTTGGTAAACGAGTAGCCCAAGAGTTGGTGATGGGTGATGATGACTATATGCCTTCCCTCTAATATTTCACTTCTAGATTATGGATGGCTAGTGCAGATAGCCCTCGTGTAGCTTTGCACAAAATTCAAAATAAACAAAACCTAAGGTACAAACGTGTACTTATCCTTTATTTTTGCTTTTCATCCTTGTGGTGTTTCTTTGATGACTATTAAACACTTTGAAATAAATCTTAAATTTCTGAGACAATACCACAATTGCACACAGTTGAATTATCTCACCACACTTCTGCCTTAGAGATTTGCATGCCACTAGTCTTTAGTGAACTCCCACCTAACTTACATAATTTATATTTGAAATACACTACACATAACATCTTTCGTGCTTGCTGTTGCTAACAGTGTATGATGTAATTTCTGAATATTGTTAAAAAATCAATCATTTTATTCATCAAACAATAGGAAATCTCAAATTTATTTTCTGTATAAAGTAATTTAACTTGTGCTTGTTTTCTTATTATTATTCAGCTTTTAATAAACTTATTATTATCATATGCATATTATGATTGAAAGACAAGAGTTGATATTAATATGGATACGTGATTGTTCATTTGGATATAGCATAATACAGTATATTGTAAAAAAGTTTGAGGCCCCCAAACCTATAACTTTAGCATGGTGATTGAAAAACAGTGCCGTAGTAAAAACAATAACATCTCCTTTCAACATACTGTATCATTTAATTAACTCAACATAATTTTTATTAGCTTATTGTTTATTTAGAATTAAAATTAATTCAGCATCTTTGTTTTTGGCCCATTTTTTGGTGGACCTCCCCTCCAGAAAAAGCTTCACAGCCCCAGAGCAGCTCCCACTTTGAGAAACACTGTACCAGACAATAATGATTTTCAAAGCATGTTAATCACCAAAGTTTCAATTTCCACAGAATATCACAGTGTGTTCATTTTATGAGTAAATTACATTCATCATACAGTAGGATGAGTTGTAGCTCTATGAAAGGTCAGCTTAAATACTTCTAACAATGTTCTCAGCCCCTGATTTATAAGAAAGGGAGCCATTGATTTTCTTGAGTATTATACATTCTTGCAGTTACGAGTGTCAATGTTCTGTATGAATATAGCTTAAGACAAAACTATAAGATTGAAAAAGGTTATGATAATTATCAAATAGGATAAGATAAAATATTTAAAGCATGAAAATAATTAACTAAATATTTAAAGCTGGTTGGATGACCAGTCATAGTCAATCATACAGTAATCTGCTCCATACACCTTTTTATATTACATATACATTTTATATTACAAGTATGAATAATACTATTTTTAATAATGCAAACAGGATTTCAAGTTTTATACATAAAAATACTGAACACGAGTCAAAGTATCTCATCAGTTTACTATGAATTTATGGTTAGACCTTGTTTGGAACATCTTATTCAAAAGAACATATAAAGAAAAATTATCAAGATCTATTCTAGGTTCGGACAGTTTTTTTCATGTGGGTATAGATTGAAATCTTGTGTTTTTGTTGTTGTTGTTTTTCTGAAGAGGAGAAAGGTGTGGGGATATGACTGAGGTTTATAATACTTAAAGGATTGGAATCCATAAATACAGATAAGGTTTTCATCAGAAAAATATAAGCAGTTAGACTAGAGGACACAAATTGAAATTCAGACGTGACTGTAATTAAAGCAGTTTTAGCTTTTTAATAGGGTTGATGGCCTTCAAGTGTGGTAGGAGCTGCAACAGTAAATGAGTGTAAGAGGAGATTTAACGAGTATTTTTATGATTAGACTAAATATAGAGACAGCATTTTTATTTTAAAACTTTTTTGGTAAAATTAATTATCTATAAACTTTAACAAATAAAAGATAAAAAAAACTAGTTGCAGCCATAAGCATACATCAAATACAAATTGCTTGAATTTATCTTTCATTGTAGGAAAGACAATTATTTTTCAAAATATGATAAAGAATACACAAAATTAGAACAGTAATACTGATTTTGTAAAAAAAAATATGAAGAATTATCAGGGTGTACTATATGGAATATTTATTGTAAACATTTTTCAAACATATCCAAAAATAAAATTAAAGTAATTGGCACAAAGATTTGGTCTTTTTAAGTTAGAGTTAATTGGAATCTTTTACTTAGGAATGGTTTTTTCATTCCTGATAAAGATGCTTTATTATTCTTCCATCAGTGGACTTGTAGGTTTTTGAAACTATTTCTGTTGTAAAAGGAATATGAGGAATAGATTCATTGTAGTGGTCATCTCTTTTCTTTTATATAATTTCATCCATACAATGTACAGGATAGTCTCTAAACAATATTTCTTAAAGTACATTTACCATCCAGTCCTGAAGTGCAGAACAGACTGTTTTTACGTAGATAAGATTAAATTCTGATTTTTACAAGAAGTTTTTTCAGTGTAGTTCCTGACTTTCTGCAAGCCTCACATAAAAACTACATTGTTTTAGGATTTTTTTTAACTATATGTCTTAGGTTGTTATTGACAAGTGGTAGTTTGTGAAATCAAGATTTTGGGAAACATTTTGTTTTTTGCTTTGTTAAGGGTAATTAATGTCATGTTAAAAGTTATTTAAAAATATCATAAAACAACTGTTGACAAACATTTCCTATCATCTGACATAAAGGATGATGTTCCTATACAATTTGACAATAGCCCAACCATTTTGGTGACATTATCCATTCAGTAGCACAATGTAAACTGTTCTTCAACCGAATACTGTGCCCTTATTTAAATGATTGTGAGAGCAATAGGAGCAGAGTGTTTGTGTGATACCATTTTATTGTAATGCTTTTTAACTTTTGGGACTCTTCATGGATGCAGTGACTTGCTATGATCAGATTTTGATCAACTGTAACAATGTTCCATATGCATAGATGGGTACATAGATGTTCTTGTGGAGCAATTTTGGTAACTTTTGGTTTAAAATGATTTATTTGTTATTATTTGCATCTGTATCAATGACAGTTTAGATGTACAACACATACATATTGATATAATTTCTGAATGATATGATCCCAAAGATGACTTTGAAAGTTCTTAATGAAACTTTCACAGGGTAAGTATATATACACAACACTTCATTCCATACCACTAACAATGATTTTCATATACTACTCCATTTCTTAAATGATTTGGCTATCATTGGACTTCTGAATTGCCTTGTACATATTTATGTCTGTAATTCTGCTTATTATTTTGTAAGAATTTTTCTTCTCAATAATATGGGTTTTCAGTTTATAACTACATTACTTCTGAATTCTATTATTAATACAACTGAGGTATTATTTTGAGTGGTTATTGCTTACGCATCATAATAATATAACAAAGTGTTGGATTTTTATATGTTTGTATAAAGTTAATTTGATGATACTTTATGATTTTTAATATAAATTTTCATATAATTTGTAATTTTACACGAAAGAAATGTGCTTTATTATTGTAAAGTATTATTTTTTTCTACAACAACTTTCAGGTATTTGTTGAAACACTTGATAAGTGTTTTGAAAATGTTTGTGAATTGGACCTCATCTTCCATGTTGACAAGGTAATTGTAACATATTTTTTGTGTAAAACTCATAATACTTGATGTCAGATTAGAAGAAAATCACTTTGGTCTTTCAAAAGAAGAGAATATTCTGTAAATTGATACAAGAAAATAGCATTCATAATGAAAAGAGAAAAAAAAAAGTCCTATGATTTATCATTGTTTTTATGTTTTCAGTGTAATTCCTGACTTTCTGCAATCCTCACATGAAAACTATATTGTTTTAGGATTTTTTAAACTATTTACAAGAGATCTGTCCATTGAACCTAGGCCCTACTTTAGAATTAATAATTACTATAACTCCCAATTTACTTTGCATACCTTCACAAAATTTGGCATGCTTTTAGTAAACATGACAACTCTTTCATACATAAAAATCAAATTCTTAGAGAAGACTTGTCCACGAATATATGGAAGTCGGTGTGTTGATTAGTCCGAATGCAAGGCTATTTTCATACTAAGATTACAAATACTATTTTCATCTTACAGTTTTCAAATTTCTTTTGTTTAACCTTTAAAAAAATCTACTAAATGAATATCAAACGTTTTTTCTTCCAGTAAAACTTTATTTTATCTGTTATTTTCTCTTCCCTATCCAATTAGAGTTGGTTGGTTTTGCTGACCTAGTAACCATCACAATAAAATACAAAATAAATCTAAAGTACTCCTTTTTTTTTTCTAGAATGACAGCAGATTGTAACACGATATTACAATTATATATCTGAAACAGCTAAAGGCTCATAATAATTTGTTTTTTTCCTTTTTCAACAATATGTACCAAATCCAATGATACAAGCTATTAATTATGCAACAAATGTGTAATTCAAGTTACGATATTGAATAACATAATGCACTAACTACTTGTGAGAATTTTTCGTAATTTTTTTTTAATTATCTAACCTAATAAGTATTTAATGTTATTGTTTTATTTTTATAAGAATACATAAAAATATACACAAAAAATATGAAATTTAGTACTTATGTTTGGCTTCTTGTTTTTTTTACTGTTGACCTAGTAATGAAACTTAAGCCTTTTTTTTCTTTTGTAATGATGGTAGTAGTGCATTAAATAATTTTTATTTCAAATATGCACTTAAGAACACAAAATAGTACATGCACAAAAAACAATATCCTATAATCAGGGGTGAAATTTTGCAGGTACTGAATACCCAGACTTATTTGAGCTGCTTTTTTGGATATGCTTGAATTCCATTGTTCCATCAGAAAGCATTTATTCATTGACTCTCAAATTGTCTTTTTTTATGATTTCAAAAACAGGTCCACTTCACTCAGCTGAGTACCACTACTTTTTTTTTAATTTTTTTTTTGATAATTTCACCCCTGCCTATAACTATTATAATTTAACTGGTTTTCTTACTAAAGCATAAGTGCCTTAAAATAATCCCCTTGGCTACTTAATGTAATCGTGGTGATAGGAACTTTCAATGTGTAAGCAAAATAAAAAAAAAAAAAAAATCTACTGAGAACCAGGTAGCATTATACGTCATTCAGTAAATTAAAATTGTATTTCTATTGTTATAAATAATGTAATAACAAATGTCAGAGAAAACTGTTGTGGCAATTTGTGATGGGTGTGACAAGCAGGTTTGAATTTCTAGTTTATGTGTCTGCAAGCAAAGAAGCTATAAAAGTAGAATATGCCTTAGTAATATCTATAAACGATAATATGTAACATTAAACTCAAAACATCAGAAGAAAATAGAGAATGGGCACACTAATAATAAAGTAATTTAAGTTTTGAGTGTAACTCTGTAAAAAGGTGTGACATATACTTTGACCTACTTGAAGTGATGGGGTTGATTTGAAATAGTAACTTGCCATTTCTGAACAGTAAATTCTAACTCTAAAATGAGAATTTGTTGGTTGGTTGGTTTTTCAGTAGGTGCTGATTTGATTTGTTTAGATTAATTGCTGGTTGCAAATGTATTCTTAAACCTTCTAAGATCAGTTTATTTATAACCTGAATTATTTAACAGGGATGAGAATTTCCCCCTTATCAGTGGTATCCCACCTTTTTAGACATGCTACAAATCATTCATAAGACCATTGCAAATCCCAGGGGAAACATTTTAAAACTAAATATTTTTGCATATACAATGAAAAACCTTTATTACAAATCAAACATTTAAGTCTGAAAATCTGCTTGATCTGCTTCTAAATTAGGCTCTGTTCTGCTTGGTAGATAGGTGTTATATTAAGACAAACATATGTTGTTGACACACTCATTTTGAGATGAAAATAATGATGACAGTTAAGCCTGTGACCCGAGTGAAATATTGGATTGGTGTCAATATGCCTAGGATCGGCTTATATCGGGATCGGATTTTGACAATCTGCATTTGTGTGTTCCACATGTCTGGATGTCCTTAATGTATATATACTAGTGGCATGCATCAAGCTTCAAAACTCATCTTCAAACTATCAGACTACAAAAAGGACACATTTTCATTAGAATACAAAACCAGTATATTTTAGATGAAGTTGAAGAACTCCTGTTATATTTATTTTCCTGTAAACCCTTAAATAAATCAAGAAACAAATCCTCATTTCTGGATACATTGTACTCTCTTAAGTTACAAAGGTGCCTGAATGTATTGTACTTTCATACTTTCTTAATAATCGGATCAGTATCAGAAACTAATACAGAGATCAGATGCAGACTTACTGACAGTCTTACAAAAAATACATACAATATGAGAGAGAGATTTAAGTTGGTTACAAAGAAAATTTATGCTGATCATGGTTTGACAAAATACTGATACTTGAAATCAAATGACAGGGGAATACCTATATAGTATATACATCAGATCACACATTACAGTCACCTCGGCTCTGTCACACCCTCCATAATGAATAAGTTATTTTTAGATTGCCATTTCAGCTCATTTATAATGCTGTCAGAAGCATTTACCACCAATCAGTCCCACACATGTATTTATTTATGTTTAGCATCATTAGTTTTTCATTCACAGATTTGGGGTATAATGAAAAGTTCTAATATTTACTATCTAAATATTATTTAATATTTTTGTATTTGTCATATGATCTTGCTTAAAAAAAGTTTCTCATACTTTTGTAATCTCTAAGAGTTTATGTTTCATGTGGTAACTATATTGGGAGGAGCACAATGAAATCTGGGAGAAAATGATCAAATTTCAATCACCGTGCTTAGCATCATGACTGATTTATAAACATTAGGTACTGAATTTGAGTTGGCTTCATTGATTAAGATGCTGTTGAATGTTATAATGATGGATAAACAGACCTTACCTCAGAAGTTCTAACTGGTGAAATTCACTTGTGCTTTGCATTTGAGAATTAAAGTATTGTCCAGGCTGTTCACAACAGGAAAGTCCTCAAAACATAACATACTTATAAAACCCTTATAATTACAATACCAACATCCCCTGTTTATTGTGCTTTATATTAGCACATTTTTGTTTTTAAAGAGGTTTTCATATTAGGTAACTTTTCAATTAGCACAGCCACTTGTGATAGAAATTTTCAGTTTAGTGTGGTTTTAAAATATACTTATGTGGGACACTTCAACATAGCTTCATATTTCAGAGATGCAGCATTTCCTCAGTTTTTCTCAAGGTAGCATCATTCTGTACAGGGGTATAATTTTATTTTTATGTTTATTTAGTGTTTTATATATTTCTTTGATGTTTGCATATTTAATTAATATTGTAATACACATTTAAAAGTTTCTGTATCCTGAAAACTTTCTGTCAAGAAAGCATCCTTTTCCTTATTATATGTATTCTTATGGGAAATTGTTCTTTCATTTAATGTGGTGTTTTTCAGGATCACAGTACTGCACTAAATGGGGATGCTGGTACTAAATTTTGGTTTAATTATTCATTAAAGCTTTAATCTGAGGCATTAAAGCTAGAACATAACATACTGCAATAATGATTGGGTTATAAGTAGTTAAAGTCAAAGTACATTTTAACCTTTTATAAGGATTGCTTTAGTCCAGTCATTAACTAAGTTAATTATTTAAATATTAGTTAATATGATCCAAGTTGTCTTAACTAGAAAGTTTCTCCAAGCTAACCGACAAGCAGTTGTGCTGTTATAATCTACTCTAATGAATAAGTTGGAAATCACTGTCATGCACTTCATCACTTTTTTTGTATTCATTGATGATTTTGTAACCAATCCAGGTACATTATATTTTAAATGAACTAGTGATGGGGGGAATGGTTTTGGAGACAAACATGACCGAAATCATCAGTCGTATTGAAGATCAAAATAAATTGGAGAAGCAAGAGGTGAGAATTTGCAATTTTTATTTTTTATGTGGCATTGTATGAAGCACACATAAGTTTGTGATAATACAGAGAAATTGTTGTTAACTGTTATACAACTATATTCCATATATTTCTAAATATTGCAATGAAAACAGTGTTCAGTAATTTATAGCAAGAAAAAAAATTAACTTAAGCTTGAAAAAAAAAAAGGGAACACAACTCGAATGAAATATTTTGTCCATTCATAATTACATCTGTAGTTGATTAA